TTGGGTGTTTCCTACATTTTCCGTTTTAGGTCGAAGTGAGTTTAATCGGTAGAAACTGAGTTTTATCGGTTAGAATTTGGAATAGACGGTGTAGTATAGTCGGGTGATGAGTGGGCCGTGCTACTGGAACTGATTTGAATTAAATCGGTCGGTTTGTGAGGTTTGGGCTTTTGGACAGCCATGGGAGTTCTGAGTTCGCAGGTTCGCCAGGCGAAGCCCAGCGAGCAGCAGCGAACCAAGTCAGTAACAAACACCCTGTCTTCGCTGGCAAGTTCGCTAGGCGAATGAGTGTGGCGAAGGTTCGCCAGGCGAGTGCTAGCGAGTAATTCCAGAATAACTCCCAGTGGTCTTCGCTGGCAAGTTCGTCAGGCGAACGAAGTAGCGAAGGTTCGCCAGAGGCTTTGCCAGGCGAAGGTCAGCGAATGTGACATCATTTGTTTTATTTTGGTTGGTTCCATCCAATGTTGATGTATTTGATATAATTATGTAGCGTATAGCTTGTGCGCTGTTATATGATATGATGTGGGTAGCCGTATGGCGTGAATCCTAGATTATGAATCGATTATGAATATGTGGCCTTTTGGCATATGTGATACATTGTTTAAATTGATTAAAATGCATGATGAATGTGATAGAGTTTGTTGTCGTTTGGAACGATATTTGTAAGTGTATATTGCTTGTATGCGATGGTGGGTGAAGAATGCATGAGATTATATATGGCGAGTACATATGCATTGTTTGGTAATGTAAGAAGGATGTTGGAAATATGTATATGTGTTGAGTCGTACTCACTGGGGTAGAATGGCAAGATGTCGTTCCTAGTGGAGTAATCACTGGGGTAGAATAACAGGATGTTATTCCTAGTGAGGTATAGTGTCGTGGTTGTATACACTGGGGTAGAATGACTAAGATGTCGTTCCTGGTGGAATAATTACCGGGGTAGAATAACTGAGATGTTGTTCCTGGTAGAGTATAAGTGATGTACCCATACTCCCAAAAAGGGATTGGTGTTAATTGATGAGTTTTATATGAGCCATATGGAATAAATATCATTGTTGTATGAAGGATGCTGATGTGTATGAATTATTGAATTGTGAGTTATAAATGTGAATCTAGAATGAAGCGATATGAGATGAATGATGAACATATGTATATATGCATTGTGATATATATATATCTATTGTGAATGCATATTGAATGTACGTGCTGGTATGTGATGTATGATGAATGTAAATGTGAACCATGTTTGAATAGTGTGAATGAAATGATGAATATATGTATATATTGCGATATGTATATATTGTGAGTGCATAATGAATATATATGGTGAATGTGACGAATGCATGAGTATGTTTGTAAACATGTGTGCATTCCAAGAGTGTCATGAGTCATGTTGCATGTGAATCATCATGGTATGCATTCTTGTGTTGATTGATTCCTCGGTGAATCTGCAGAACCTCGTGTGCCCTTGTGGGATGTGAGCGATGGTTATTTATTGATTCCTCGGTGAATCTGCAGAACCTCGCGTGCCCTTGTGGGGTGTGAGCGATGGTTATTTATTGATTCCTCGGTGAATCTGCAGAACCTCGTGTGCCCTTGTGGGGTGTAAGCGATGGTTATTTATTGATCCCTCGGTGGATTTGCAGAACCTCGTATGTTGCGATGGTTATATTTGATTCCGCGTAGAATCTGCAGAACCTCGTGTGCCCATGTGGGGTGTGAGCGATGATTATTTTTGGTTCTTGAATTGAACCTGATGAAATGAGTCGGTACCGCATTTGCATCTGCATAAAGTCGTGTGTCGGTCTCTATGAGTTGCATGTTGTCGTCTTTGTATGATGTATGGTGAAATAAACATGAATGTAGATGTTTATGTGAATTAGTGATAGAATAAACATGTTGTGTATGTTTATTGAGTTAATGTGAATGTTTATGTGAATTGGTGATGAAATGAACATATTTTGTATGTATATATGGATCGATTGGGATTATGGATGTACGCATGATAAATATGCTTGATGGTTATCCATATTTGTTTATATGTAAATAGCGATGTATATGAGTGAATCGTGAATGAATGCATGATGAGATGCTTGGTTATATACATATTTGTATACATTGTAATGTATGTTAGTGAGTGGTGATGTATTGTGGTAAGAAGTATAATATGGATATTCTATGTTATAGAAATATATTATATGCTTTGTTATTGTGTTAATATGCATTGTGGTGAGAAAAGGTGAAATATATATATATATATATATATATATATATATATATATATATATATATATATATATATATATATATATATATATATATATATATATATATATATATATATATATATATATATATATATATATATATATATATATATATATATATATATATATATATATATATATATATATATATATATATATATATATATATATATATATATATATATATATATATATATATATATATTCTGTACTTGTGCATTTATATATGATTATGTGCATTGATTATTTTGGTAATGTTTCTCACCCTTCTGCTGGAATGATGTCCTTTATGACATCGTGCAGGTATCTTGGAGTTGTACTGCTAGTAGTTGCGAGGTCTCTACTGGGGCAGTCGTTTAATATTTTAATTATGTTGGACCGAGTCATGCTCTGGTTATGTAACACTGGGATCGTTGGGTTTATGCCTTAGAGATATATTATGTATTCTAAGTTGTGTTTTAAATGTATTTGAAATATGTGATAATGGCCTCTGTGCCTATGTGTTGATGATTATGTGAGGAACATGAATATTCTGTGAAGGGATTTATGTAAATAAATTGAATCCGCTGCTACATGCAAGATGAAAATTTAATAGCATGACTATTTATTTCAACGTTACATGAGTATGACAGGTGAATGTGTTGAGATTTTGTAATTGTGTGACGCCCTTTTGTGAAAGCTAGTTAATTTACTCTGATTAATTATGTATTATTCCGTGGGGTTAGAAAGGTGTTACACTCTTGGCGTGTGAACTTATTTTATAATTTGGGTCCAGTAAAATGGATTTAAGATGAATTGAGTTTTAGTCATTTGAGTCTTTGGCCAACTCAAAACAATGTTCAAATAAAAAAACCTAGACGATTGGGATGATTCTTCTTTTTCAATTCATTTATTTCCTGAGTTAAGTATTGATTATACATTTGTTTATTTCATAAACTATTATATAATTGATTTTCAATATTATGTTATTAAGCTTGTAATAAAAAATAAATGACTTCAATTGAAAATAACAAAAGCTGACATGGTGCCACTACATTGTGTTGATGTGCCACATAATAAATGAGAAGGCCACAAACATGTTTTAAAGGTGAATGACCAAAAAAATCCCAAATAAATTAAGAATAATGTTATTTTTACACCCATTTCTGACATCAATACTTACACAAAATATTATTTACCGTATTTATACAGTAAATAATATTTTTTTAATAAAAAATATTTATAAAAAGATTTATTTTAAATAACAAATATATTTATAATTAAAAAAAAAACTAATTTCGTAACACAAAGAAAAAATTTGTCATTAACAAATTTTATTATTGCATTAACAACAAAAAAATAAAAATATTATTAATCACATATTTTACTTGTAGCTTAATAACTAACTTCATTACTTCATTAAGGAACAAAGTATATAATATTAACCAAGTTTGACATTAATTTATATTTTGGTTAATAAATTTTAAAAATTAAAAATTAAACAAAATATCAGAACATAGATGATATTATGTATTTTATTAGTTAAGAAGTACTAGTAAAGTTGATAATAATCTATAAGTAAAATATGTGATTAATAACATATATTTTTGTGCTTAATACGATAAAAAACTTGATTAATAAAAAAAATCTTATATTTGTGTGAAAAATATATATATATTTAAAATATTTTTATATAAATATTTTTTATATAAAAATATTTCAATTAAAATAAACATTATTAATGTAATATTGATGTAGAAAATGAGCGTCATAAAATAAAGTATAAAGATTAAAAATTCTAAAGAAAGTAAAGTATATAAAAAAAATCTAAATTTTGAAATGAGAAAAAAAAATTAAAAACACATAAATAAATAAAAAGACTAAAATTACATGTCAGCCATATTAAAAAGTTGTAATATAAAATTAACAATTAAATATAATTTTATACAAATATTTTGTAATTTTTAAAAATATTTATTTTGATTTAATCTCTAGTTTAGTGATTTTAAAAACTTTTTAAGATATAAATATATAAATGACATTTGGTGCACACACAATATAAAACAATATTATATATACGATCAATTAAAAATTTGTCATCTCATACCTATATTTCAAAAATAAATATGTGATTTTAACAAAATATAGATAATGGTATAAAAACATTTTATACTATCTGTACATATTTATTTTTCTCAAAATATATTTAAGATAATATCTCAAATCCAATTTTAGTTGAAATAAAATAACTAATTTATAATTATTTGAGATTCCTTAACTATTCTGGTAAAAGAAAAGACCGAATTAAGAAATACTTTTAGATATTTGTTTTCATGAACAAATTCTGTCCAGATTATGATTGTATCAAGACGCAATTCAAGCTTTAGTACATTTACAATTTTGGAATTGCTCCATATTTAGCCACAAAAAAAAACAACTCATTTACCATAATTACTTTAATGATTAAAAATAATGTACGATTCAAACTAAATATTGAACAACAAATAATACGGTATAAAATAATTAAGATCTGAGATTCTTTTCTCTCTAAAATAATGAAAAAGATATTCTGTTAACTTATTCACTCTAAAATTGATATTCACTCTAAAATTGATATTCACGTGTTATTATAGTATTAAAAATACCAATATTTTATTTTAAAGTTCAACTTTTCAACTATAAAAATAAAAGACATATATGATAATATCAGTACCAACCAGTATCACCATTCGCCAACCATCGGACTCAGTTACCATGGAACCACCAGCGTCCTCCGCCACCGCCACCGCCACCGCGCCTCCAAGACCGCGTAGCTACTGGCGGTGGAGCAAGCAAGATTTCTTTCCAGAACCTTCTTTCCAAACCAGTGAAACCTACCGGAACGCCTTAGCAAACACATGTCCGCGTCTGAAGGACCGCCTCCTGAACCGCTCATCGGATTCTCACGAACTTCTCGTCCTTCCAAAAGCTAGCGAGAATCGCATGGCTCGTTGCCTCACCTGGTGGGACCTAACCTGGCTAGCCTTCGGTTCTGTGGTCGGTTCCGGCATCTTCGTCGTCACCGGTCAAGAAGCTCGCGTCCATGCTGGTCCCGCCATTGTCCTTTCCTACGCCGCATCCGGTTTTTCCGCTCTTCTTTCGGCTTTCATCTACGCTGAATTCGCGGTTGAAGTTCCTGTAGCCGGTGGATCCTTTTCCTTCCTTCGAATCGAACTCGGTGACTTTCTCGCTTTCGTCGCCGCCGGTAACCTCCTCCTCGAAGCTATCGTCGGCGCCGCTGGTCTCGGCCGTTCATGGTCATCCTACTTCGCCACAATGGTAAAAAATGATTCAGAATTCTTCCGGATCCGAATCGACTCTTTCAAAGATGGCTTCAACATGCTCGATCCGTTAGCCGTTGCAGTTCTGTTAATCACTAACGGATTCGCCGCTAGCGGAACTCGGAAAACCTCTATCTTAACTTGGATTACTTCAGTTGCCACAACTCTGATTATAGCTTTCATTATAGTAGTCGGTTTTATCCATGGAAAGTCGTCAAACTTAACGCCGTTTCTTCCTTACGGGGTTAAAGGCGTTTTTAACGCTGCTGCGGTTGTGTATTGGTCATACACCGGTTTTGATATGGTTGCAACTATGGCTGAAGAAACTAAAAAACCTTCTAGAGATATACCTATTGGTTTAATCGGTTCAATGTCGATGATAACAGTTATTTATTGTTTAATGGCATTGGTGCTTGTGTCAATGGTTAAGTACAGTGAGATTGATGATGGAGCTGCTTATTCGGTTGCTTTTGTTCAAATTGGTATGAATTGGGCTAAATATTTAGTGAGTATTTGTGCTTTGAAAGGAATGACAACAAGTTTGCTTGTTGGGTCAATGGGGCAAGCTAGGTACACAACTCAAATCGCACGGTCGCATATGATTCCACCCTTTTTCGCGCGTGTTCATCCTAAAACTGGAACACCTATTAATGCTACGCTCTTGACGACTCTATCGAGTTGTGTTGTTGCTCTTTTTACTAGTTTGGATGTTCTGTCTAGTGTTTTTTCTGTGTGTACTCTTTTCATATTTTTGCTTATGGCCATTGCGTTGCTTGTTAGGAGATATTATGCAAGGGAAGCGACTGATGATAAGAGTGATTTTTGGAAGGTTCTTTTGTGTTTGTTTGTTGTAATTGGTTCTTGTATTGTTGGGACAGTGTTTTGGAATTCGAGTTTGTTTGGTTGGATTGGGTATACCACGGCTACCTGTGTTTGGTTTTTGGCGACATTAGCGTTGAGTTTGCTTCCAAAGAAGAGGCAACCAAAGGTTTGGGGAGCTCCGTTGGTTCCATGGTTGCCTTCTTTGTCGATTGCGACGAACCTTTTTCTTATGGGATCGTTGGGTTATGAGGCTTTCTATAGATTCTTGATTTGTACTGGTCTGATGCTTGTGTATTATATACTTGTAGCTGTTCATGCAACTTATGATGTGGATCATGGAATTGGTCAAGAATCAAAGCATGAAGAGTTATATTAAGGTGTCAATTAAAGGTAGCATGTTTTCAAGTTCCACCCATTGAGAAGTTGTGGGTTCTCTTATGCTGTGTTAAAAATAGTTTAGCTTTATGTGTTGTGTGGAATCAAGAAGAGTGAAGTATTTTTAGTGGCTGGAGAACTACATTTGTATAATTATTAGATGTGATGAAAGAAAATTAAGTGTGCGTGTTGCAGAAGTTGAGGGCTTTTTTAATAATCTTGTGATCTTGCTATGCATTTGTAAGTATGCATAAATCTTATCCACTTCACAAGTAAGAAACTTTGCATTGATTGCCCTTCATTTACAAGTGTATATGAAGTGGAAAAAATAAATACAAAGTTTACTTGTTGAAAGTATAAATATTAATTTATTATGTTATTTATGTTTGTATCGGATTTGTTAGTCTTTAGAGATATTTAGTTGAGTGGGTGTTTGAATTTTAGGAATATGATGTTATTGGTTCTTAGCTCTTTTAAACATTTGCAATCGTGTTATTTTAACTAATTATTTAATAAACTCGTTGTAATCTAAATTAACAATGGTATTAGAGCAAGTTAATTTAGAGAAAAATATGAGCGTAACATAGTAAGATTTGAGAGAACAACATCAATTGTAGATCAATATAAACTCTTAATGAGAATTTTGTGCATACTGCAATTTCTCATTTTGATGGTCATTATAATCAATGGAGCATGTTAATTGAGAATTTCTTAAGGTTCAAAGAGTATTTCCAAATTGTTGACACCAGATTTATAAAGCCCGTCTGCCAAGGGAGCAATTCAGACATATGTGCTAAAGGTAGAAAGGGAGGCATTAAAACTCAAGGATCTTAAAGCCAACAACTATTTGTTTTAGGTCATAGATCGAGTAACTTTGGAGATGATTCTCAGCAAAGAGCTTTCCACAATTTACTCAATTGATCCATGTTATCTTCAAGACGCAAGTTGTGTTATTAAAAAAACGACGCTCAAATCTTCATCCTCCCTAAAGAATGTTTGTCTCTCGGTATGATCCGACACACTGATTATCACATAAGTATCTATTTGTCTTTTTCTTTTACTAAAAAGAAAATACTTTGTCGGGACCAAATCCTTCTTCATATCCGAGCCTCTAATACATGAGTATAAATCCTCTTTCATCTTTACTTCGTCGGGAGATAGAGGAGTTGGTCTAGTGTGATAAGAAGAAATAAATCAGTGGATGAACTCCAGCACTACTAGAAATAACGCTTTTAATGTCGCACACGAAAGAGATGTAACCTCGGCTACCGAGATGACGTAACTGTCGTACCTCGAAAAAGCACGATCCTTCGCGAATGGTCGCGAAAAACAGAGTCTCCATCGAAAATTTTTTTTCCAATATGGAAAGGAAAATATCGAGAAAACCTTGAGGAAAAGAACATGGTCATCGCAACCAAGTTCTAGGTTCGGGAGTCGGTTACATGAGGGGAAGGTATTAGCACCCCTCACGTCCGTTGTACTCAACGGGAACCTCTTAATTCGATTCGTAAAAAAGGTTAACCTAGTTTATTTGTTTTCTTCCAAGATAAAAGGTGTAAAGGTAATGTAAAAGGGTTTAGACTGCTAAGGAGAAATGAGTAATTTTAGATTAGGGTGCTCGCCAAGGATTGGGGCCCTTGTGCCTACGTATTTTCACTCGGGAGAAGTGAAGAATCAGAGTGTCCGTAGTTCGTGGGACTACGGGAGGAGGAGGAAAATGTGGAATTGTGCTCGCCAAGATCGTCGCAATCTTGTGCCTACGTATCTTACATTCAGAAGAGAATGAAGAATCAGAGTGTCCGTAGTTCGAACTACGGGTGTTGGTTTAGATATGAACGAAAGATACTTAGTCGTATTCGACAAAAAATATTGCTTTATCTAAACGGGTGAGGAGAGGATGCTAGCATCACTTTGAATGGATTTCCATATATCAACATTCATGGGAAACACGCCACTTATATTGACTCAAGTAGGTTATAGACGAAGCAATATTTTGCGTCGTCTCAAGACACCATACCTCACGTTTATGAAAAGGTTTGATGGTTCACATGGTGGTGAGAAGTTGAATTAATGAGTTGATGTATTTGATTTGAGAAGAGAATAGATTTGAATAGGTTTTAGGGTCTCGATCGCACGGGGGAGAGAAAGAGAGTTTAATGTATCAGATGCTTAGCTAGAGGTGACGATTACCTGAAGCTTAAGAAAGGCTTCTCGGGCCCAAGTAATCGAGAAAGTGAGTCAAAGGACTTGAATCTCATTCTTTTTCAACCTTAATTGGCAAAAGGGTTTGATATGGTTCGAGTAAATTAATTGGATGACGATTACTCGAAGCTTAAGAAAGGCTTCTCAGGCCCAAGTAATCGGGAAAGTGAGTTAAATGACTTGACTCTCTATCTTTTTTCATCTAGAGAAGAGGTTACGTAGGAAAAGCGTTTTGAAATATATAAGGTATTTAAAGTATTTTAATCGGATGAGGGTTACTTGAAAGCTTAAGAAAGGCTCCTCGGGCCCAAGTAATCGAGAATGAGTCAATGGCTCGACTCCCTCTCTTTTCATCTTATGTTATGAAAGATCTTTGACTGAATAAGTTTGACTGAATGAGTTAATGAGTCAATGAGCTTGTACCTTATGCAACAGATTTTTGTCGCTTGGATTTGTAGGTTTTGGCGTAGTGGCTGCGAGTTTTCTGTATTGTTGTTGTACGAAACAGTTCTTGGTGTAGGTGATGTAACACCCTAATTTTTAGTAATTATTTATTAATTAAATTAATTGATTAATTATGTGATTTTAGGCCTAATTGAATTAACTAATTTATGTGATTTATTTGATATAATTGAATTAGTTGATTTATTAAATTTATAGAAATTATTTGATTTATTTGAGTTGTTTGGATTAATTGAATTATTGGACATATTCTAAATAATTGATTTAATTTTATTATTTAACTTATATGATATATTCTAATTTGTAGAATAATATAGAATTGTTAGATTAATTGATTGGGCCTATTTGGGGGTGTGAATAGACATGAGTTATTAAGCCCATTGGAATTACTAGGTTAATTAAAATTGTGAGAATTTTATAAAATAAGAGAAATGGGATAGAAGAGAATAGAAAGAAAGAAAAGATAGAAAGGAGAAAAGAGGCAAAGAGAGGAGTGGAGAAGAAGAGGAGGAAACTCAAGAGAAAGAGCAAAAGTTCAACAAATTCAAGGTAAGGGTGGGGTTTTGCATGTTTATTGAGATTGTTTGATGATAGTTAGTGGGTAGAAATATGGTTAGGTTAAAATCCCAAATTTTCTATGAGGTGGAAAATTGTTAGGTTTTAGTGTTAATCCTTGAAATATGTTAATTTAATTGTGTTTGAAATTGTTGTGTTGGTATATTATGGAGAACTATTCAATATTGAAGTAGATAGATTAGTATAGGAATGGAAATTGACATTTATTTTACATTCTGTAGCGAGTAAAAAAATTTAAGAAATTAATGAGAGTATTCCATTACTTATTCTTCCCTGTAGCATAACATTTAAGAAATAGAGTATTATAATATAGTGGTGGTGGATTTTTACTACCTGTCTTGTAGTTATCAATTTCTTTTAATTTGAAGCAAAATAATAATAAGAATGCATTTTCTTCCTGCTTATACCTGTAACTGAAATTGTAACGATAGAGGTGATGACAGTAATTAATAAGTGTGATATTTATTCTTCACCTACGGTAGAAAATGAAATGTATGTAATTTCATTCACTGTATCAAGTTATAAATGATACATATATATATATATATATATATATATATATATATATATATATATATATATATATATATATATATATATATATATATATATATATATATATATATATATATATATATATATATATATATATATATATATATATATATATATATATATATATATATATATATATATATATTGAGATGGGGTAGTCATAGATTGTGCAAACACTATATGTACCTGGTATAGAAATGGATTGTAACTCTTCCCTTTTATAAAAAGTAATTCCTCTTATTTAAAGTGATAATTTCATGTTGCTCTAATTATGCAGTCACATGCACTAATTGAATAGTAGAATTAATTAGTATGTATATAGTAATAATGTAATATCACCTTAACTTGTAGGTAGCAGATTTTAATTAATTAAAAGGTGATGCTACTACTAAATATGTGCAGGGCTCACAACACCCTTCCTTGTATATCCATTTGGTTTAGAAAAGTGATACATTACCTAATGGTATAAAACTATATGAAGTTAATGAAAATAATACTGCCTAATTTCATATATATGTTGCCTTTTATTTGAAACCAAATCGAAACAGGGGAGTGTATAAGCTAGTTTCTGTAGCTTATTAATTGGAATAATAGCATGTGATTAATTTATGAAATTAAGAATTAAATTAAATAATTGAAATAATTATTGAATAATTGAATAATTATTGAATATTGAATTCAGTTATTGGTGATGGATTAATTATTCTATATTTAATTAGTGATGCGTGTTTTGTGAATTGAGGTTGAATTGTGTTTATGCTTGTATATGTGCAAAATGTGTGTAAATTCAAGTGTGATGAATTGTTAAAGATATGCGTTGAATATTAAGATTAGGGAATGATCTTAATTGAATATGATTGTTGAATTTGCATACGCATCATTTGTGTCAAGAGGCAATGTTTGTTAGTTCCGTGGGAGCTAGTGACTTGTCCCAAACCTAGAGCGGGGTTTGAAAGCTTAGGGAATGGGCTTTTGTGTGTTATTGGTCTAGGGAACGGACCCGGTTTAAATATAAAAACCGAAAAATAATAACAAGTGTTGGTACCACATGGCATGAGTTGCATTGAGTCTTGCATTGAATTTTGCATTGAGTCTCATTTTGTATATTTATGTGCTATGAGATTATGTGTGATATGTAGAACTGATAAATTGGTGAATTATGGAGTTGTGTGTATATACTTGTGAATAGTATGGTTACTTGTATAA